ATATGCGTTTTTGCTGCCTGTTGCAGCGCTCTAGCGCTGCACGGCAAAAACGCATAAAAAGTGAATTTTAAGGTGACCAATATGTATTCCCACTCTTAGAAAAATTTCTGGCTCCACTACTGAATTTAGTAGGTTATTTAATGAGGAATCGATGTTGGAAGACTACAGTGAAAGCATCTGGTGAGCTGGATGTCGATATTCTCGCAGTTGTTGTTGCTTTTGGAGCATGCGTTGACGACAGCATGTTCATTCGTTCCTCGGTGTATTTCAAAGCGTAGTTACCGTTCCGGGCACTGCTGTCACCTAAAGCTTTGTCTTCAAGGCGCACTCGTTCGGGTTCATTCGGATCTCTATTCATGTCATATATCTGCAAAATGTATTAATAAAGTAAAAAGTCAAAATCCCGCCCGAACAAATAAACAGTGTTAATTACCATGATAACCACTAAAAGGACGAGTATTGGGACGATTTTTGATTCGCTGTAGACGCCCGGAATTGCCTTCTGGAGCATCCGGCTTCTAAATGTTCTGCCGCCAGAGGGCCAGGCAAGCCGATTTAAATCTCACATAAATAATTTTGTTTGATTTATCCGGTCACCCCCACGTTGCTTACGCGAGAAAAAGAAATTCAATAACTCTACTGTTGCTGGTATAAAACGCAGATAGGAAAGTTCAAGTGATCCTCTCGCTGATTTTTGTACCGTAGTTATCTAAAGGCTATTTAGAACTGACTGGTGAACTTCTCAAAAATAATATTTTAGCAAGCCTTGTGAAGGCAAACTGTGGCCCAGATAACTGAATTTCAGTCGATTCTGCTGACAATCAAATAACACTCCGAATGCATCTCCTGGAAGCAATGCTGCAGTCAACTAATTAAGAAAGTAACTAGATGTTTAGGTGGGAGAGGAAGAACTCACGGTAATTCTCTGGAAAAAAACATACTAAAAATATTGCTTATTCATTCGATTGTATCCCCTTTTGGGCAATATTAAGATTACTAAAGCCACTCACACTTGTGCTAAGCTACCTTGATACTGTTATGCATCTAGTTGCTGAGAGTGGCTAGCTTTAACTAATGCACACTTCCAGCCTTATCTTTCCGATCTAGAGGTATACGCCGGCAACTAGTGCTTTCCGCTTTCCATGTGTCATTTCTTCGAAGACAGTTTACTTGATCGATTTACTCATCGCGGACATTAATTACTGGCGACATCCGTCAATCCTCAGCAAAATCGAGCAGCCTTTTACCTGTCACACTTTATGCTCTCTAATGGTATTAACGATATCTTGCAAGCTACTCATGTGAAATCACGTTTGATTGAAAAAGCGCTCCAAGCATCTTCTGCTTTCCTGTAACTGCGCTCTTTTTTGCTTCGTCAGTGAGAAACTTTTGCAGAAAGTATCAGCACACGCTTCCAGGAACACGATAAGACATCCACAAAGTAGGGTGAAAAGTGCTGCTAAATAAAATTTTTTGAGAAATCTCTTATGCTTTTCTTGAAGAAATGCTTTAGCTAAACTGATTCCAAAAATGGCCTGAAATGCTCATTTCAAGCCATTTTTGGGATCAGTTCAGCCAAAGCATTACTTCAAGAAAGACAAAAGAAATTTTTCAGCAAACAATACACACACTACGAAGCAGCTTGCGCTTCATAACTGAGGTAATAATCTATTTTGAATGAAATTAGGGATCAGCGCGGTTGCGAATGTGAACCTTTAGAATTTTCTTTTCGTCTTTCACTGGTCGGCCGTCTACAAACAACTGCTCCTTTGGCTCGTTCGAATCACTGCTTGAACCGAGGAAAAGCTGACTGAAAACTGATAAAAGATTTGAAGTTAGTTCTTGATTTTCCGAAGCAAAGTATCAGAACACTTCTAACAGACGCGTTAAACAACCAAGTAAACCTTTTATAAGTGTTCAAGACAGGAAATTTTCAGGTGTTTAGCAAAATCAAATAGCATACCTCGTTTTTCTCGCTTGCTTTTGCTCTGCGCTGGAATCCGAAGAGGATACTGCTGAAGCTATACAGATTTATGCATTTTTATGCAAATAATGTTGCATTATTTAGAATTGCTCAGCATGTTCGTGCACCATGCACAGGACGTGCAGCTTTGACTAGTCTCTCTTCAGCTACCAGATTTCTTTCACTATTACTTGTCCCGAAATTTCGTTTTTGGTGATTATCCTTTTAGTACTACTTTCTTTAACAGGAATTTTACTGCTACACACAAAGTCAAACAGCTACGCGCATGTTGGGCAATGTTTCCTTGTCCAAGCATGCATTTTCTAGTTGTGCAGATAATGTCTATGGAAAATGTAGAGAGGGGAATATGTAAATTTCACCAGCTTAAAATATGATTGTTGCAGATATGGCATACTTCCGGTTTTTGGTTGCAGCAGAACATCGCTTAGGTTCACTGGGAATTGATGAGCCATCTGAAAAGCGACAGCATCTTTCATGATGCAGGCCAAAAATTTTGTTTGCTCTGAATAAACCCAGGCCGGAACGCACCAGGCTCTCCGGTGCGATTATGCGTTTTTGCACTAAACTCGCAGATCGCTATTAGCAAGAATGATGCCTACGCTGTAGCCTAACACTTGGGCTCATATTGGCCGTGCTTTGGCCCCTTCCGGCATGCAGGCGGAAGGGCGTCAGTTGGAATAAAGGTGGTGCATTATAGAGCCGCGCGAAA